GGGAGGATTGTTTGAGGCCAGGAGTTCAAGACCAGCCTGGGCAACATAGCGAGACTGTCTCTACAAAAAAATTAAAAGATTAGCCGGGTGTGGTGGCACATGACTATAGTCCCAGCTACTTGGGAGGCTGAGGTGGGAGGATCAGAGCCCAGGAGTGCGAGGCTACAGTGAGCCATGACTGCACCATTGCACTCTAGCCTGGGCGACAGAGCAAGGCCCTGTCTCAAAAAATAAATACATTAAAAAATAACCAAAATGGTGCTGTTCCTCCTTGAAGGATGGGTGGGAAGATCTGCAAGAGGGGATTAAGTGATGCAGAAGGAACTAGAAGGAGCAATGGCAGGAGCGTGTCCTGGATGGGGTGGCCTGAGACATGGGCAGTGCCAATTCATCCAGCGAGAAGGCAGAGGTGGTGGGTGCAGACGGACCCCAGGAGCTGGGCGGGAGAAGGGGTCCTTGTGGTGGCCTGATGGTACTCAATCCCCAGGAAGGCTGTCTGCAGGGTCAGGGGCATAGTATGAGGCAGAGGTGATGGAGGTGATGGCAGGGCAGAGGGAGAACAGGTTTGTTGGAGCGTGAAGTTCACTGTTAAGGAAATGTTGCAGGATTTCTGAGTAGCGCTGAGAACCCACCAAAGGTGTGTGGCCGGAAGACCCTGCCCATGTCTGCAGCCTGACCTCAACCATGGCAGGGCTGTGTCTACACAGGCGGGGGGCACTAAGCATGGCGCTTATGCAGACAACCCCACTCCTGCCATACAGTAGAGTCACTGCCCTGAGTCGCTGCATGTCCCCACCCCAAACCTCTCCTGGGGACCCCGGCCCTCCCACGCAGACACTGCAAGAAGCCTCTGGGACACTGCCCAGGGCCCCAGCCCCAACTGCTGTGTTCCTTGACGGAGCCAATTGCTACATTTTTCTTTTTTTTTTTTTTTGAGATGGAATCTCACTTTTTCGCCCAGGCTGGAGTGAATTACTGCGAACTCGGCTCACTGCAACCTCTGCCTCCTAGGTTCATGAGATTTGCCTGCCTCAGCCTCCTGAGTAGCTGGGACTACAGGTGCCCACCACCATGCCCGGCTAATTTTTTGTATTTTTCACCATATTAGCCAGGATGGTCTGATCTCCTGACCTCATGATCCACCTGCCTCAGCCTCCCAAAGTGCTAGGATGAAAGGTGTGAGCCACTGCACCCGGCCCCACCTTAGCTTATGTCATGAGAAAGAAAAGCAAAAATAAAAAAAGAGGGCCGGTCCCTGGATCCTCCCCAAAACAACAGGGTGGCTCCTCTAGGAAGGGAGGTCAGGCCCCCAGCTGACCTCCCTGAAGTGCCCACTTGAGGCCAGCCTGGCTATGAGACCCTCACGTGTCCCCTGCGAGTGAGGAGTATGACGATCCCATCACAAATGAGGAACCTGAAGCGGGAGGCCAAAAGACTGGTGGGTGGCCAGGCCAGGCCTGGAGCTCGCCCTCAGCCTCCCACAGGTGCCTGCACACTTGGATTGCACTGCCCAAACCATTCTTCTAGCGACGCCTTACATGCAAAGAGAGATAGAAAGAGCTCTAAGAGGCTAAGCATGGTGGCTTAGGCCTGTATTCCCAGAACTTTGGGAGGCCGTGGCAGGAAGATTGCTTGAGGCCAGGAGTTCGAGACCAGCCTAGGGGCAACATAGGGAGACCCGATCTCTAATAAAAATACCAAAACTGGGCGTGGTGGCTCACGCCTGTAATCCTAGCACTTTGGGAGGCCCAGGTGGGCAGATCACCTGAGGTCAGGAATTCCAGACCAGGCTGACCAACATGGAGAAACCCCGTCTCTACCGAAAATACAAAAATAGCCAGGCGTGGTGGTACATGCCTGTAATCCCAGCTACTCAGGAGGCTGAGGCAGAAGAATCACTTGAAGCTGGGAGGCGGAGGTTGCGGTGAGCCGAGATGGTACCACTTCACTCCAGCCTGGGGCAACAAGAGCGAAACTCTACTTCAAAAAACACAATTAGCTGGGGGGGCTGCAAGCCTGTACTCCCAACAACTCGGGAGACAGAGGTGGGAGGATCATTTGAGGCCAGGAGTTTGAGACCTGCCTGAGGAACATGGGAAGACCCCATCACCACAAAAAATTAAAAAACTTATCCAGGCATGGTGGTGGGCACTTGTGATTTCAACTACTTGGGAGGCTGAGGTGAGAGGATTGCTTGAGCCTGGAAGGTGGAGGCTGCAGTGAGCTGTGATTGAGCCACTGCACTCCAGCCTGGGCAACAGAGCAAGACCCTGTCTCAAAAAACGAAGCAAAAGCAAAACAGAAACTCTAAAAGCTGCTCTGGTGGGAATGAGTTTGGGGGGCTAGAGGCCTCCTTGCATGGCGTGAGCACCCCTGCCCTATTGATGCCCACCCAGAAACCCTGGGGGGCAAGGCAGCCCTGTACCTTCACACCCAGGGGGCTGGGCTAGCTGAACAACTCTGAGAGGAGTTTTGGGACACAAGAGCGCTTGGCACTTACCGGAGACAGTGACCACGATGTACTGCTGGGGCGCGGGCGAAGGGGTGGGCACACCGGCCGGCTGCGAGGGTGCGGGTACAGCCGGGAGCTCCGTCACATACTGCTTCTGGCTGCCCGGTGGCTGTGCCTGGGGCTGGGGGCTCTGCAGCTCGGTGACATACTGGGGCTGAGGGGTGGCGGCGGTGGCGGGCGGCTGAGGGGGCTGGGGTGCCGCTGGGGGTGGTGGTGGTGGTGGCTGGGGCTGGGCTTGCGGAGGGGCCTGTGGCGGCTGGGATGGTGGTGGGGCTGCCTGGAGCTCAGTGTACGCCTGCGTTGCCATGCCAACGGTGGGGAAAATGATAATAAATAAGGCTTTTTTTTTAATTCCTTGGGAAGAAAGGGAGGGGGGAGAGAAAAAAACAAAACAAAACAAAAGAAGGAAAAACAGGAATTAATCTACAGGCAGAGAAAGCAGAGACAGCTCTGGGCTCCCTGGAGATGTGCTTGGGCTCATCACTAACTTAATTAAATCCCCAGGCTGGTGGCCAGAAATATCCAACCCGTCACTGCAGGGGTACCAGCTGTAGACCAGAGCTGGAGCCCCAATCCGCACCCACACTCACTCCAAGCCGGATGCCCACCTTCCAGTCCCTGATACCCAGGGATCCCCACATCCATTTCCTCACCCTGCGGGGGAACTCAGGGCCATTTGGTGGCTCTGTACCCTTACCCAGAGACGAATGGTTCTCACTGGGTCACTCTCAGATGCCAGGGGCTGCCCCCTCCCTTCCCTCCATCTCCTTAACTGAGGAACCCAAGTGGGCATGTCCTGAAGGCTCCTATAAGCCAGGCACAGGGCTGGGCACTTTCCCTACGTTACCTCATGTGTTTTTTTTGTTTTTTTTTTTTGAGGAGTTTGGTTCTTGTTGCCCAGGCTGAAGTGCAATGGTGCAATCTTCACTCACTGCACCCTCTGCCACCTGGGTTCAAGCGATTCTCCTGCCTCAGCCTCCCTAGTAGCTGGGATTACAGGCACCACGCCCGGCTAATTTTGTATTTTTACTAGAGACGGGGTTTCTCCATGTTGGTCAGCCTGGTCTGGAATTCCTGACCTCATGTGATCTGCCCACCTGGGCCTCCCAAAGTGCTGGGATTACAGGCTTGAGCCACCGCGCCAGGCCTTACTTCACCTTTTAAACTCAAGTCACTGTAGCCAAAAAGCCCTTATCTACCTGGTATCAGACCGTCACCCACATGAACCCTACCACTGTCTCTTAACTCATGACATATTACTAACCTCTTCTGGGCCTCAGTTTGCCTATCTGTCACCTGGGAATAAGGAGAATGCCCAATTCACCAAATTGCTGTAAAGATCCAATGAGATGAGGCTGGGTGTGGTGGCTCACACCTGTAATTCTACCCAAAAGCCAAGCCAAAGTTTGGGAGGCTGAGGCAGGAGGATCACTTGAGGTCAGGAGCTCGAGACCAGCCTGGCCAACATGGTGAAACCCCGTCTCTACTAAAAATACAAAGTTTAGCTGGGCATGGTAGTGCATGCCTGTAATCCCAGCTACTCGGGAGGCTGAGGCAGGAGAATCTCTTGAACCCAGGAGGCAGAGGGTGCAGTGAGCCAAGTCATGCCACTGCACTCCAGCCTGGGCCACATAGCAAGACTCTGTCTACACTACACACACACACAATTTTTTTCCCAGAGACAGGAGTCTCACTATCGTGCCCAGGCTGGTATCGCACTCCTGGGCTCAAGCAATCCTCCTGCCTTAGCCTCCCAAAAAGTGCTGAGATTCTAGGTGTGAGCCACCACACCGGCCTATTTCATTGTCAACTTTCCAACAAGCATGTCTAGGGTTGGGTTCTGCCTGCTAGGTAGGGAGCTGAGGCTCAGAGAGGTGAAGGTGCTTGCCCCAGCCACAGAGCAGCGAAGCGGTAGGGCTGCGGTTGAACCCTGGGTGTTCTGCGCTCCTGACTCATCAGTTGATTGCCAGAGAGCAGTCATGGGGAGAGCCGCCTCTGAGGAGCCCGTGCCGGTTCCCTGCGTGCCTGCCATCTGGACTTGGCATTCTTGGCTGAGCAGCATTCCCAGTGGGAAGGTGTTTGAGTCCAAAAGGCCCTGTGAGCTGCATGGGGCCACAGTGGCTTTCTGGGCCCTCTGCCTGAGGACAGTTATGGGTCTTGACACCAGATGTAAGCTCATCAGCGGGACAGTGCCCTTCCGTGGCCAGGGGCGACGGGGCTGGGAGCCGGCCCAGGCCACACTAAGAACCCAGCAGCTGCGGCTGACTTCAGAACAGGGCCGGCCTTGGCCAGGCACGGTGGCTCACGCCTATAATCCTAGCACTGTGGGAGACTGAGGTGGTTGGATCACCTGAAATCAGGCATTCAGGATCAGCCTGACCAACATGGTGACCCCATCTCTACTAAAAATACAAAAATCAGGGCCGGGCACAGTGGCCTATAATGCCAGCACTTTGGGAGGCCAAGGTGGGTGGATCACCTGAGGTCAGGAGTTTGAGACTAGCCTGGTCATCATGGCAAAACTGCATCCATCTCTCCTAGAAATACAAAATTAGCCAGATGTGGTGGCAAGCGCCTGTAATCCCAGCTACTCGGGAGGCTGAGGCAGGAGAATCGCTTGAACCTGGGAGGCAGAGCTACCGTGAGCCAAGATGGTGCCATTGCACTCCAGCCTGGGCAACGAGAGCAAAATTCCATCTCAAAAAAAAAAAAAAAAAAAATCAGCTGGGTATGGTGGCACGTACTTGTAATCCCAGCTACTTGGGAGGCTGAGGGTAACACTCCATCTCAAAAAAATAAAAATAAAAATAAACCGGCATGGTGGTGCATGCCTGTAATCCCAGTTACCAGGGAGGCTGAGGTGGGAGAATCGCTCGAACCCGGGAGGCAGAAGTTGCAGTGAGCTGAGACTGCACCACTGCACTCCAGCCTCAGTGACAGCACAACACCCTGTCTCAGAACCAAACAAAACAAAATGAAAGAACAGGGTGGGCGTGGCTAGAGGGTGTGTCCCTCTGAGCTGGGCATGGCCTCCCTCTGGTTCAGCCCCATTGCAGCAGTCAATGGGCAGTGGTTTCGGGGCCCTTGTACTCATGAGCCCCATCCCCAGGTCTGAAGCATTTGCGGGCTGGTGGGACAGAGGCACGAGTGGTCAAGAGGAAAGGCTCAGCTCCGTGCTTTTGTGGCCCCTGGAGGTACTGGGGTCTGAGAGCCCTGCCTGCACTCGGCAGTGACTCTGGCCAGTTCTACATCCTGGCTGGCAGCTGCACCGGAGCCTTTCCTGCACTAACAGCACCTGTGTGCCATGATGTGCCCAGGTGGCCCTCCAGCTGCAGGGTGACCCTCAAAGGAAGGAGGGGGTGGAAAACAACAGCTGCTGGTTGACCAGGAGCCCCCAGAACCCTCCACTGAGGTAACCTCCCAGCAGCTGTCTGAGGGAGGTGCCATCATGCCCATTTTACAGCCGAGTTCAGTGAAGCTGAGGGGTAGCCTGCTGAAAGCCTCAAGTACCTGGTGAGGCAGGGATTGAACCCGGGTCTCTCTGACCCCCAGATACATTCTTCAGCTTCCAGCCCTACTCAGCATGCCAGGCATGGCGCTCATTTGCTTTTTTTTTTTTTTAGACGGAGTTTCACTGTGGAGTGCTGGAGTGCAGTGGTGTGATCTCAGCTCACTGCAACCTCCACCCCTCGGGTTCAAGCAATTCTCCTGCCTTAGCCTCCCGAGGAGCTGGGATTACAGCCGCCTGCCACCACAAGCGGCTAAATTTGTGTTTTTAGTGAAGACAGGGTTTTACCATGTTGGTCGAGCTGGTCTCAAACTCCTGATCTCAAGCGATCCACCCACCTTGGCCTCCCAAAGAGCTGAGATTACAGGCCTGAGCCAGGGCGCCCAGCCTTCATTTGCTTCTTACAGTCAGTACACAGCATCTTGCCAGTTCTTCCCACAGGGAGACCCAAGCGTCACCTGCAGAGGTTACGCCCCCTACCCAAGGCCCCAGATAGGGCAACAGAACCTGCAAGGGAAAAGCTGGCCTGAGCAGCCCTGAGGAGGCCGGGCAGCGCCGTGACACCTGTCCTTCCCACCTCCCCGTACCTCCCTCCCCTGGGACCCAGGTTCTGCCCTTTGATGTCAAACTCAAGAGCCATCCGAGTCAGAAGGGGGCAAGGCAGGTGAGAAACAAGGCCTGGACAGGGACGGATGCACCACGATTTGAACCTGGGTACTTCCTAGCGGAGTGACTTTTGCAGAGGCCTCTACAGCTCCATCTGTGAAATGGGAGGCCAGCCAGTGCTACCAGGCGGGGCTGCTGAGGAGTTCAATCTGATCCTGTGGGCAGCTCGTGGCCAGGCATCTGGCATGCTGTAAGCTCACAGGAAATGGCTGTGGCTCCCTTCACTACCCAAGGCCCTTTAACGGAGTTCCAGGAAAGATGAAACGACCTCCTGGTCCCGCCTCGCTTCCAGCGTCCAGAGCTTTGGGCTGCTGAGGACGAAGAAAACAGGAGCGTCTGCCTGCCTCTTGGGTGTGCCCTCTGTGCTTGAAGCAGGCTGGGGAGGGACTCCAGGACCTTCCTGGCTGGCAGGGCCCTGGGACCACCCTCCCTACAGGTGAGGTCATTCTGGTGGGAGGGGCGGAGGCAGGAAGGATGAGAAGCCATTTGGGGCCTTCCCACCCAGCAGGTGGCCAGCCTTAGTGCACTGTGGCCCAGGGACTCAGGGCAGCAGGGAAACTTGTCACCTCAAGAGGGAAACGCTGCTGTCTGCCTCAAATGGGGCCAAGACCATCTTCCTCCAGCCCCTGCCCTCCCCAAACTCCTTCCTCCCAGAGTTAGAGGGGAAGAGGTTCCTCACACCATCGGGTCCAATTCTGGCCTGGCTCAGGTACTCAGGTCACTGTCGCTGACAAGCCGTCATCTGCCTGGTGTCAGACCCTCACCCACACGAACCCTGGCGCTGTCTTTTAACTCATCAGCATATTACCAACCTTCTTCTGGGCCTCAGTTTGCCTGTCACCTGGGGATAAGAAGAACACCCAATTCATCAAATTGCTATAAAGATCCAATGAGATCAGGCCGGGTGCAGTGGCTCACACCTGTAATTCCAGCACTTTGAGAGGCCAAGGCAGGTGGATCACCTGAGGTCAGGAGTTCAAGACCAGCCTGGCCAACATGGAGAAACCCCATCTCTACTAAAAACGCAAAAATTAACCAGTGTGGTGGCCTGTAGTCTCAGCTATTTGGAAAGCTAAGGCAGGAGAATCACTTGAACCCAGGAGGCAGAGGGTGCAGTGAACCGAGATCACACCACTGCACTCCAGCCTGTGACAAAGCAAGACTCTGTCTCAGAGCAAAAAAAAGATCCAGTGAGATCAGCTCAACACCCAATAAACACTAATAAGTGGCAGGTGTTATTATTCATTCAACAAATATCCAAGCCAGGTGGGGACAGAGGAGGACGGAGACGCCAAGAGGAAATTCAGCCTAAGCTTTCATCGGCATCATCGGGCAGATTCCTGGGCTCTACTGCCCAGCGAGTCGGAAATAGCCCCGAGTATGTTTTACTAGTCCCTTAGATGGTTCTGAGGCACGAAGTCCTGAGATCACCCTAAGAAACGCTGGCCTTGGCTTTCTCAGCACTAAGACAGCTGGCCTCTTGTGGCCCCTCCCACAAAGAAAGGGCTTCAAAAGCTCCTCACTTACTGACTCTTTCTCTTTCTACGGACACAAAGCCCATGGGCCTCATCCCTTCCAACTCAGGTGCAAGAAGAGGAGGCGATGATTACTTTCTGAAAGCCTGAACTCAAAAGGAGGAGGTGGGAGATCAAGGAACAACTAAACCAACTTCTCTATGGACGATCTTCTCAGCACTGTCATTGTCAATCTTTTTCCTACAAGTATTTGGCCACGGAACCCTTTTCTACCATTTAGGGAGACTACATTAAGCAATGACACAGGTTTGTTCCCCAGAGAGAAATAAATCACATATACATACATAGCACAAGGTACTGCCCATGCGTTCGAGTATGACAACCCTTTATTTCCGGAGCTTGGCCCACAAAACAAGGTAATTACTGAACACTGTTCTTTGGCAGTGAATCTGCCAAGAAAAGCACTAGTGGCTGCACCTGTCTTCAGAGGCAGCAGGTGTTTCTGGAGACTGTTTAGATCTATTACTTTAAATGAGGGCTTGGCAAAGTTCTGCAAAGGGCCAAGTAGTAAACATTTTCCGTGTTGAGGGTGGTCTCTGTAGTGGCTGTTCAACTCTGCCATTGTCATGTGAAAGTGGTCACACACCACAGGTAAACAAATGAGCAGGCTCTGTGCCAATAAAACTTTATTTCCAGTCACTGAGATTTGAACTTCATGTAATTTTCACCTATCATGAAACATAATCCTGGTTTTGATATTTCCAATCATTTAATTATGTAAAAATCATTCTTAGCTTACCAGCCAAACAAAAACAGGCAGCAGGCCATAGCTTGTTGACCCCGGGTTGTTTTTTGTGTTTTGGTGTTATTTGAGACAGAGTTTCACTCTTGTCTCCCAGGCTGGAGTGCAACGGCACAGTCTCTACTCGCTGCAACCTCCACCTCCTGGATTCAAGTGATTCTCCTGCCTCAGCCTCCTGAGTAGCTGGGATTAGAGGTGCCCACCACCATGACTGGCTACCTTTTGCATTTTAGTACAGACGGGGTTTCACCATGTTGGCCAGGCTGGTCTTGAAGCCTGACCTCAGGTGATCCTCCCACTCAGCCTGGCCTGACCTCTGTTTTGGATGCCACATTCTCTAGCCAAATGGTTTACATCCTCAGCAAGGCTCTCCCAAGGACGTAGAAAGAAAACTCATGTTCCTCATCTACAGAATGGCTCCAGTAATAAACTTGCAGAAGAATAGTACAATTAAATGGAATGATATGTTTCTCTCATCCTCTATATCTAATTTGTTTATAAAATTTGTCAATTACTCCTCCAAAATAGATCCTAGAGGCTGCGTGTGGTGGCGCACGCCTGTAATCCCAGCACTTTGGGAGGCTGAGGCGGGCAGATCATTTGAGGTCAGGAGTTTGAGGCCAGCCTGGCCAACATGGTGAAATCTGGTCTCGACTAAAAATATGAAAATTAGCCAGGCCATGGTGGTATGTGTCTGTAATCCCACCTACTCAGGAGGCTTAGGCAGGAGGATTGCTTGAGTCTGGGGAGACTGAGATTGCAGTGAGCTGAGAATGTGCCACACACACACACACACACACACACACACACAATATATATATGTATCTCCTAGTGACTGGGTGCAGTTCTCACACCTATAATTCCAGCACTTTGGGAAGCCAAGAATGGAGACTCACTTGAACTCAGGAGTTCGAGACCAGCCTAAGCAAAAGAGCAATGTCTTGTCTCTATAAAAAATTGAAAAAAATCAGCCAGGTACCTGTAGTCCCAGCTGCTCAAGAGGCTGGGGTGGGAGGATCACTTGAGCCCAGGTGTTCCAGGCTGCAGTGAGCTGTGATCACACCACCACACTCCATTCTGGGTGACAGAACGAGATCCTGTCTCTTTAAAATATATTCCGGCCAGGCATGGTGGCCCACACTTATAATCTCAGCACTTCGAGAGGCCACGGCAGGAGGACTGCTTGAGCCCAGAATTTTGAGACTAGTCTTACCACCATAGCCGAGACTCCATCTCTACAAAAAAAAATGTTTTAATTAGCTGGGTGTGGTGGCGTGTGCCTATAATCCCAGCTACTCGGGAGGCTGAGGAGAATCGCTTGAACCCAGGAGGCAGAGGTTGCAGTGAGCCTCTCTGCAAAAAAAAAAAAAAAGAAAACTGCAGATCCTCTCCTGCCTCACAGCCTCTTCCTCCTGCCTGTCACACTGTCCCCACTGCCACCTTCATGGCTGGCTTCTCCTCCTTACTCAGGACTCAGCTCATAAGCACTTCCTTAGGTCTCAAGGTACCCACAAGCACAAACCACTATTTTATTTGCTTAGAAAACTGACAGGCAAGGTGGGGTACGGTGACTCACGCCTTTAATCCCAATATTTTAGGAGATCTCCTGAAGTCAGAAGTTCAAGTCCAGCCTGGCCAACATGGTGAAACCCTGTCTCTTCTAAAAATACAAAAAGTAGGCTGGTGCGGTGGCTCACACCTATAATCTCAGCACTTTGGGAGGCCGAGGCGGGTGAATCACCTGAGATCAGGAGTTTGAGACCAGCCTGGCCAACATGGTGAAACCCTGTCTCTACTAAATATACAAAAATTAGCTGGCTGTGGTGATGGATGCCTGTAATCCTAGCTACTCAGGAGGCTGAGGCAGGAGAATCTCTTGAACCCAGGAGGCAGAGTCTGCAGATCACACCACTGCACTCCAGCCTGGGCAATGAGAGTGAAACTCTGTCTTTAAAAAAAAAAAAAAAATTCAAAACAAAAACAAAAATTATCCAGCTATGATGGTGGGCATCTGTATCCCAGCTATTCTGAAGGCTGAGGCAGGAGAATTGCTTGAACCTGGGAAGTGGAGGTTGCAGTGAGCCGAGATCCTGCCACTGTACTCCAGCCTGGGTGACAAGAGTGAGACTCTGACTCAAAAAAAAAAAAAAAATAGCCAGGCATGGTGGCAGGCATCTGTAATCCCAGCTATTCGGGAGGCTGAGGCAGGAGAACTGCTTGAACCCAGGAGGTGGAGGTTGCAGTGAGTTCAGATCATGCCACTGTACTCCAGCCTGGGCAACAGAGACTCTGTCTCAAAAAAAAAAAAAAAAAAAAAAAAGAGAGGAAACTGACAGGTACACAGTGGCGCCTGATATACCACAACACACTGCTAGTCAGCATCAAAGGCCGGTTCCATTAACTGCTGAGACCTTCCTCCTGCCAGCAGCCGGCTTGTGCTACAGAGGCAGGCATTCTGGTCCAGAATGGGCCTGGGGAGCATGCAGAAGAAAGTATGGCCTAGGAAGACCACATCCTGTGCAGCTGCTAACGAAGGCAGCATCTCTGGGAGGTGCAACCTGGCCATGCCCTCACCCCAGATGCTTGGGTATGTGACAGAGGAGAACAGTGAGAATCTCTGCTCCAGAGACACCCTTACCAGCTCCCCATCTTTCCCACCATGTCCACATCCCTGCTTACCCAGCTGCCTCCTGAAAAGCTGGGGACAGAGTCTGGGCCTGAGCCTCAGTAGCATTTGTCTTTCTTTCTTTCTTTTTTTTTTTTTGAGACAAAGTCTTGCTCTGTCTCCCCTGCTGGAGTGCAGTGGTGCAATCTCGGCTCACTGCAACCTCCACCTCCCAGGTTCAAAAGATTCTCCTGCCTCAGCATCCCAAGTAGCTGGGACTATGTCATGTGCTACCATCCCAGGCTAATTTTTGTATTTTTAGTAGAGATGGGGTTTCACTGTGTTGGCCAGGCTGATCTCGAACTCCTGACCTCAAGTGATCCACCAGCCTCGGCCTCCTGAAGTGCTAGGGGAGTGAGCACCTGAAGTTAGCCATGGGCGCAAAGCCAGGAGTTTTCTTTCTGGTGACTCTCCTAAAGCCGGAGAAAGGCCATTCAGCAGCAAGGGGAGTAACTTTCCCTCTACAAACTGGATTCCTGGTATCCAGCTTCCTGGATCCCTGTTACCAACCCACACAGCCCAGCAAGTGAGAAGCAAGTCAACCTTTAAAGCCACGAGGGCTCTCACTGCATTCAAGATGAAAAAAACAAAAGCCAACAGTGTATTTCCAGTGCTGAGCAGGAAGCGACAATCACCATAACAGCTGAGGCGAACCAGAGTAACTACGTTAGCAGTTACTTTGTATTTACTTTGTTTCGCTATTCCTATGCATTTAATGTTCAACAGGTATTATTTTCTGGGAACCACAGCACAAAAACATGAGATTGAAATGGCTCCCAAGGATTACGGCCCCTAGATGAAAGGAGGGGAAACTGAGGCCCAGAGAAGTTAAGTTACTCGCTAAGAGCACACAGCTGGAAAAGAAGCTGACTGTTTCCAGGACAAGCAAACCAACCCAGTGTTCTCTCTCTAGTCAAATGGCTCCTCTGGGCTCAGGCCCTTTACCTGTAAATGTAACTGGTGGGTAAGGGAGGCTGAGGCAGGCAGCAAGACCAGATAATTGGTAACATCACTTTCTGCTCACTTAGCTTTTTTTTTCTTTGAGGCAGAGTCTCACTCTGTTGCCTAGGCTGGAGTACAATAGCACGATCTCAGCTCACTGCAATCTCTGCCTCTCAGGCTCAAGCAACTTTTGTTCCTCAGCTTCCCAAGCAGCTGGGATTACATCACCATGCTCGGCTAATTTTTTGTAGCGATGGGGTTTCACCATGTTGGCTAGGCTGGTCTCCAACTCCTGACCTCAGGTGGTCCGCCTGCCTCAGCCTCCCAAAGTGCTGAGATTACAGGCATGAGCCACCGTGCCTGGCCTGTTCAGTTAGCCTTTCTAAGAAGCACTGGCCTGGCCCCAGCCGTTTGGGAGGCCGAGACGGGCAGATCACGAGGTCAAGAGATGGAGACCATTTTGGCCAACATGGTGAAACCCCATCGCTACTAAAAATACAAAAATTAACTGGGCGTGGTGGCAGCCGCCTGTAATCCCAGCTCCTCAGGAGGCTGAGGCAGGAGAATCGCCTGAACCCAGGAGGCGGAGGTTTCAGTGAGCCCAGGTCACGCCACTGGACTCCAGTCTGGTGACAGAGCATGATTGCATGTCAAAAAAATAAAAGACTAAAGTGCTGATGATCCTTCTAGCAACTTGGCATTTCTAGATTTTTTGTTTGTTTGTTTTACTGAAAAAGCAATCTCTACCTGTCCTAACTTTCAAGGAGCCCTGCCTCTTCTAAAAAGGACCTGGCTTAGAAGTACCAGAAGTGAGAACCCGCGCCCGCCCCGCCAAGCCTCATCTCAAACTCCTGGGGAAAAGCCTGAAATAATACTTTTCCATGGAATTTACTGTAGTTTGCACAGCGACACTAAGCTCAAAAAGCAAGACGGAGAATATGCCAAGTAACCCTGGCCTGGCTGGCTACTTAAAAAAAAATTCTTCCCTGAGCTGGCAGGATCTTATCACCCTAAAAAGCAGTGGCAAAGATTCTCCTCTCACAAATATGGATAGCTTCCCCTTCCCTCTGACCGCTGCTGCCCACGTGGCCCTAGAGGCTGGGAACTTGTCAGTGACATGTGACTCGGTTGACACTCATTTGACACAAAAACATGTGTCTGGCCAAGAGAAGCAGCTTAAAAAAATCTAACAAACTTCCTCAGGCACTATTTGCTCCCCCTTTCCCAGTAAGGGAGACCTTGATGGGCAGAACCCAGAAACACCCCATCGCCAAGAACAAGCCCCCGCAACCCCAAACCAGGGAACATCAGGTCTCAAACAGCAGCCCAGAAAGAAGCGCTCAGGTTTCTGTTCCTCTAAAGCAGTCCCTCATGATCACTCCTCCCTGCCATGGACTTTGATTACTGCAAACCAAATCCTCCAAGCTAAATCCAAGTCAACTCCTAGCTCCTCCATGAGCATGAAACTCGGCTTCCCCTCTTGTTTCCTCCCAGAGAGAAGGTGGCAGGTTTAGGAGTGGGCTGCAGTGCTGAAATCAGGACTAGCTGACATTTTATTAAACCACATTCAGAAACAGTAGACAGCAGGAAAAGGTTCAAAGATACGCCCTGGATGAAATTCCTGAAAGGAATGAGGAGTCCCTATACTCTAGAAAAAGGGCCATGTCAATGATTCTCCCCATTATAAAGGATGGAAAACTGAGGCCTCAGATGGACAGGCACTTGTCCAAGCTCAGAGTCCTAGGCACAAGTGCAAGGCTCTTAAGGAAGAAGGGAGTCGCTTATGGATCTGGAAGGAGGCCCGGGTGGTGGCTGCCCCACCCGGTTCCGGAGGTGGAGGTTGGGGAGACCCAGCCGACCCCGCCCACACCTTCCCTCTTGGCTCCGCCCACCTACCGTGGACCCGCCTCGTCCCTCCCTCACTCCCATTGGCCCAGCCTCCCCAGGCCCGCCCCTTCGCTCCTCCCGATATATAAAAGCCCCCCGCCCCGGCCGGCCGACCTCCACTCGCCGCCGGCCTTCGAGCGCCCGCCCCTCGCGGGGGCCGGGCCGCGGGGACGGGAGCGGGTGGTGTCGTTCAGCCGGGCCCCGGCCCCCTCCCCCACGGTCCAGACAGTCGGCGCCGCCATTTTGACCGCCCGCCCCTTCCCCCAGAACTGTGATTACAGAGACATCCGCTGCCCCGGCCCCGCCGCCCACCCCGGCCCGGCCAGCCACCCCGGGGCCGCCCCGGTTACCTCCGCTTCTCCCTACTTGTGTCTGAGGAAAGTCTTTTCGGAGGTCTCGGAGTCGATGTTGGGAAGGGGACGGGACGTGCTGGGGTCCCCGGGCCGGGCCGGGGGGGGCCGGGGGTGGGGGTCGGCCGGGCGGTTGTTGTTGTTGACTCGCGTTGCCGGGTTGCTTGGTCGCCACGACTACCGTGGCTATGGCGCCTCCGTTTCCCTCACCGGGGCAACTGTTGCTACCCACCCTACTTACGTCACGCTTCGGGGGCGGGGCCCCGGGTGATTGGCGGCGCCGGGAGAAGTGATTGGACGGTGCCAACCCTTGCCGCTAAACTATTGGTTGCGAGGCACGCTTTTCAACACCCTCTCGACTTCCTGGCGATCTGATTCATCGATATGAATGTCCATCAAAAGAAACACCCTCAAAGGCAGCGGGGCCCGTCACTCCCGCAGGGAAGCAGCTGGCTAAGACTAAAGGGGTGGGACTTGTAAGGACGAGATTGGTTTGCCGCTGAGAAAACCGGCCTCCTGGTTCGATTAAAGGGACGTCAATCTACCAAAGGTTTGCCGCGCTCTCTGTCAGGAGGCCGTGCGCATGCTTGGCACGCAAGGCCAATTGGGAGTTGTAGTCCGCTCCTACGTATACTTTACATGTCTTACCAAATTAAAAAGGCGACAAAGGAAGGCTCCCCTCCAGACTTTTCTCTCTGTCGGTGGGCCAGTTTCTGGCCTTTCGCGCTGACGTCAGGGGAGGAATGAGGGGACGCAGCGCAACCCCTCTGTGACGTCAGCGGCGAAGGCCGGGCTTGGGGTTCGATGACGTCACTGAGCGCTCTTCTTCCCCTCCCCCCCCCCAAATACACACCCCGCCCTTACTGCCCATGGTCCGGCCTGGGTTGGGTGGACGCGGGAGGCTGGGGCGGGTTCTATTCCAGCTCCCACCCCTTGGAGCGACATCCTCCTCCGCCTAGACCGGCCAGACTTTGCGGCCGCCGCGCCCTTTCCTGCCTCCCGTTTCCCTCCAGCCGGAAAAGGTCACCGCTGCCAGGGTGACCGCCGCTATCTCTGACCCGCAGGCAGTGCGCCCGCCCTGGGAAAGGTCTCTGCAAGGCGGGGGACTTCATTAGCGGCTTCAAACGCGGTAGATAAGCAAAGGTCAGCGCCTGGCGCAGCCCAGGGAGCTCGGTCTGCCCAGGAGAGCTCCCCACAGCCCCCGCCACCATCCTCTCACACATACGTTCCTCCTTGCCTCAGTTTCCCCAAGGGATTGTCCCGATGCTGCAGGAGAAGAGACAGAAACAGGGTCCGGACTAGGGTGAGCATCTTGGGCGCAAAAACTCAGTCATCAAGATAAATAATAATCTAATTCAGTATTTGTTAAATATCCAAATTAATGGGAAAAAATAAATCTATGATGAACGAAACATCACAATTTTAAATAAAGACAGGATCTGCCAACACATGGATTAAGGTGAGATGCATCATGCAAGCTCAGGGTCAGATCTTGTGTTTAAAAAAATGTTTATTTTTAATATTTTGGGTTTTTTTTTTTAGTTTTTATATTTTTAGGTTTTAACTTTTTAATTTAATTTAAATATCAATTATCTTATGACTGAGCTCTTTGGCCTTCTCTTAAATTTTGCACTCTCATCCCAGGAAGGCCTAGAACAAGAAGGGGAAAAGAAAAAGGCTCAGAGAGCCCTGAAGTCTAATGCCAGCCCTGCTGTGTGGCATTCAGAAAGTGACTCCACCTCTCTGAGTTTATTTCCTAGTTCAATCAACATTATATTTCCTCAGTGCAAGGCCCTAGGCTGTCAACGTGAAGAAAGGTGACTTCATTTATGGTGGCTCGCACCTGTAATCCCAGCACTTTGGGAGGCCAAGCTAGAAGGATTGCTTGAGCCAATGAATTCAAGACCAGTCTTGGCAACATACCAAGACACCTGTCTCTACAAAAATTAGCTGGGCATAGTGGTGCACACCTGTAATCCCAGCTACTCCGGAGGTTGAGGTAGGAGGATCGCTTGAACCCCGGAGGTGGAGGTTGCAGTGAGCAGAGATTGGCCACTGCACTCCAGCCTAGTCAACCGAGTGAGACTCTGCCTCTAAAAGAATAAAGACAGGCCGGGCGTGGTGGCTCACGCCTGTAATCCAAACACTTTGGAGGCCAAGGCAGGTGGATCTGAGGTCGGGAATTCAAAAACAGCCTGACCAACATGGTAAAACCCTGTCTTTAAAAAAAATAAATAAAGACCTGGCCAGGGGCGGTGACTCACGCCTGTAATCCCAGGACTTTGGGAGGCCAAGGTGGGCGGATTGCCTGAGGTCAGGAGTTCCAGACCAGCCTGGCCAATATGGTGAAACCCCATCTCTACTAAAAATACAAATATTAGGCCGGGTGTGGTGGCTCACGCCTATAATCTAGCACTTTGGGAGGCCGAGGTAGGCAGATCATGAGTTCAAGTGATCGAGACCATCCTGGCCAACATGGTGAAACCCTGTCTCTAAAAAAAAAAAAAAAAAAAAAAAAAAAAAAAATTAGCCAAGCGTGGTGGCAAGCCCCTGTAATCTCAACTACTCGGGAGGCTGAAGCAGGAGAATCACTTGAATCTGTTGCAGTGAGCTGAGATCGCGTCACTGCACTCCAGCCTGGGCAACACAGAGACTCCGTCTCAAAAATAAAAATAACCATAAACATGGGCAACCAGCACCCCTTGAGGCTGCTCTGTCTATGGAGTAGCCATTCTTTATTCCATTCCTTTTTTTGAGACAGAGTCTTGCCCTGTCACCAGGATTGAATGCAGTGGCACGATCTTGGCCTCCCGGGTTAAAGAGATTCTCCTGCCTCAGCCTCCCAAGTAGCCCAGACTACAGGCATGCAGTACCATGCCCAGAGACAGGGCTTCCCCATGTTGGCCAAGATGGTCTCTATCTCTTAACCTCGTGATCCATCCACCACGGCCTCCCAAAATGCTGGGATTAGAGGCGTGAGCCACCATGCCCGGCTGTTCCTTTACTTTTCTATAAATTTGCTTCCACTTTACAGACTCGCCCTGAATTCTTTCTTTGGAGTCTGGATTGGGACGGCTTTCCTGTAACATCTTCACCCCAGGATCATGAAGCTGGAGGAGGCAGAACCCGGGCCACCCGTCTCTTTTCATGGGACTTTCCACTGCCCCAGATGTGACCCTGGATGGGAGAAGAGAAACAGCAGCAGCTCAAGTCGGCCTGGAAATACCAGCCGAGCCCCAGCCCTGAGAAGTACCTCCAAGAATTAATGAGACTTAGGCTGGGCGCCGTGGCTCAAGCCTGTAATCCCAGCACTTTGGGAGGCCCAGGCGGGTGGATCACGAGGTCAAGAGATCGAGACCATCCTGGTCAACATGGTGAAACCCCGTCTCTACTAAAAATACAAAAAATTAGCTGGGCACGGTGGCGCATGTCTGTAATCCCAGCTACTCAGGAGGCTGAGGCAGGAGAATTGCCTGAACCCAGGAGGTGGAGGTAGCGGTGAGCCGAGATCACGCCATTGCACTCCAGCCTGGGTAACAAGAGCGAAACTCCATCTCAAAAAAAAAAAAAGAATTAATGAGACTTACAGGCAGACAGTGCCCAAGAATGAATCCCAGCTGGCAGTACAAGTCACAGCATAGTCCCAGCACCAGCCACGGGGTCTTCATTGTTGGGAGGGAAACTAGAAGCCCTTTCTCCACCTCCTACCCATTTCTCCAATGCCCCGAAGTGGCTGGATCAAGCACGGAGACCATGTCTTCCATTAAAAATATTCAGCTGGGCACAACAGCTCACACCTATAGTCCCAGCTACTCCGGAGGCTGAGGCAGGAGAATGGCTTGAACCTGGGAGGCGGAGGTTGCAGTGAGCCAAGATCAAGCCACTGAACTCTAGCCTGGGCAACAGATCACAACTCTTCCTTAAAATAAATAAATAAATAAATAAATCGTTATAAGGCTTTGTGGCAGGAAATGCAAGGTGGAGGCTGGAATGTTCTATATTTTTCTCTGGTGTAGGTTGTACAGTATATAGTTGGTCCTCCTTGTATCCACAGGTTACACATTGGAGGATTCAGCCACCTGCAAATCAAACACTGAAATAGGTGTGCTCTGGTGAATAGGCACATAGGCTGGGCGTGGCGGCTCAAGCCTGGAATCCCAGCACTTTGGGAGGCTGAGGTGGGCGGGTCACCTGGGGTCAGGAGTTCGAGATTAGCCTGACCGACATGGTGAAATCCCGTCTCTACTGAAAATACAGAACTTAGTTGGGCACAGTGGTGGGTGCCTGTAATCCCAGCTACTCGGGAGGCTGAGGCAGGAAAATCACTTGAACTCGGGAGGCAGAGGTTGCAGTGAGCCGAGATCGCGCCACTGCTCTCCAGGCTGGGCCATCTCGTCCAGCCCAGAAACCACGCTCTTAAGAGCAGGGGGTTATGAGATCAGGACTAAGATGATATGTTATGAATGAGGAAATGGAGGCGCTGAAAGGTGGCCTGAGGCAGCAGATCCCAACTTTTTTTTTTTTTGGAAACGGAGTTTTGCTCTTGTGACGCAGGCTGGAGTGCAATGGCACGATGTTGGCTCACAGCAACCTCTTCCTCCTGGGTTCAAGTGATTCTCCTACCTCAGCCTATGGAGCAGCTGGGATCACAGGCATGTGCCACCATGCCTGGCTACTTTTCTATTTTTAGTAGAGACCAGGTTTCTCCATGTTTGTCAGGCTGGTCTCAAACTTCCGACCGCCTCAGCCTCCCAAAGAACTGGGATTACAGGCTTGAGTCATCACGCCCGGCCAACTGATCTTCGACAAAGCAAACAAAAACATAAAGTGAGGAAAGGACACCCTTTTCAACAGGTGGTGCTGGGATAATTGGTAGCCACATGTTGAAGAATGAAACTGGATCCTCATCCCTTACCTTATGCAAAAACCAACTCAAGCTGGGTTAAGGACTTCAATCTTAGACCAGAAACTATAAAAATTCTGGAAGATAACATTGGAAAAACCCGTCTAAGCATTGGTTTAGGCAGGATTTCCTGACGGAAATCCCAAAAGCAAATGCAATAAAAGCAAAAATAGTGCGCGCTTCGGCAGCACATATACTAAAATTGGAACGATACAGAGATCAGCATGGCCCCTGCACAAGGATGACACACAAACTCGTGAAGTGTTCCATAAATTAAAAAAAATTAAAAATTAAAAAAAATAGAAACAAAAATAAATTGCTGAGGCTTAATTAAACTGAAGAGCTTTTGCAGCCAGGCACAGCGGCTCGCGGCTGTAATCCCAGCACTTTGAGAGGCTGAGACAGGTGGATCACCTGAGGTCAAGACTTCAAGACCAGCCTGGCCAATCCATGGTGAAACTCAGTCTCTACTAAAAATACAAAATTAGCCAGGCGTGGTGGCACATGCCTGTAATCCCAGCTACTTGGGAGGCTGAAGCGGGAGAATCACTTGAATCTGGGAGGCGGAGGTTGCAGTGAGCCAAGATCATGCCATTGCACTGCAGCCTGGGCAACAAGAGCAAAACTCCATCTCAAAAAAAAAAAAAAAAAGAGCTTTTTTGTGGTGGAACTAACAGCAGAGTACACAGACAACCCACAGAGTGGGAAAAACATCTTCACAATCTGTACATCTGGCAAGGGACTAATATCCAGAATCTACAATGAACTTGAACAAATCAACGATAAGAAAACAAACAATCCCATCAAAAAGTGGGCTAAGGACATGAATAGACAAGTCTGAAAAGAAGATAGACGAGGCCAGCAAACACGAAAAATGCTCCACATCGCTAATGATCAGGGAAACGCAAATCAAAACCACCATGCGATACCACCTTACTCCTGCAAGAACGGCCATCATCAAAAAAACGGTGGATGCCCGTGACTACTAGTGGACACAGTGAACGGGGAACACTTCCCCGCAGCTGGTGGGAATGTAAACAAAACCGCCATGGAAGACGGTGTGCAGATTCCTCAAGGAACTCAAAGTCGAAGTCCCTACCATTTGATCAAGTAAACCCTCTGCTGGGGATCTACCCAGAGGAAGAGAGGTCATTCTGCAGAAAAGTTGTTTGCACATGCGTGTTTATAGCAGCAACATCTGCCATTGCAGAAACGTGGCACCAATCCACATGCCCACCAATCAACGAATGGATAAAGAAACTGTGGATAGGCACGATGGCTCACACCTGTAATCCCAGCACTTTGGGAGGCCGAGGCAGGTGGATCACGAGGTTGAGAGATCGAGACCATCCTGGTCAACATGGTGAAACCCCGTCTCTACTAAAAATACTGGGCGTGGTGGTGTGCGCCTGTAATCCCAGCTACTCGGGAGGCTCAGGCAGGAGAAGTGCTTGAACCTGAGAGCTGGAGGATGCAGTGAGTCAAGATCATGCCACTGAACTCCAGCCTGGCAGGGGAGCAAGACTCCATCTCAAAAAAAATTTATAAAAAAGGAAAAATAGAAAGAAAAAACTGGATATATATACAATAAGAATACTACTAAGCCATAAAAAGGAATGAATGAATGGCATTCACAGCAATGTGGATGGAACTGGAGACCATTATTCTAAGTGAAATGAGTCAGGAATGGAAAATCAAACATCGTATGTTCTCACTCATAAGTGGGAGCTGCGCTATGAGGATGCAAAGGCAGAAGAATGATAGGATAAGAGGCCGGGTGCAGTGGCTCACACCTGTAATCCCAGCACTTTGGGAGGCTGACGTGGGCGAATCACAAGGTCATGAGTTCGAGACCAGCCTGGCCAATATGGTGAAAGCCTGTCTCAAAAATAATAATAATAAAAGAAAAAGAGCAGGGCCCGGTGGCTCATGCCTGTAATCCCAGCACTTTGGGAGGCCAAGGTGGGTGGATCACGAGGTCAAGAGATCGAGACCATCCTGGTCAACATGGTGAAACCATGAAACCCCATCTCTCCTAAAAATGCAAAAAATTAGCTGGGCATGGTGGCGCGTGCCTGTAATCCCAGCTACTCAGGAGGCTGAGGCAGGAGAATTGCCTGAACCCAGGAGGCGGAGGTTGCGGTGAGCTGAGATTGCACCATTGCACTCTGGCCTGGGTAACAAGAGCGAAACTCCGTCTCAAAAAAAAAAAAAAACAAAGAAAAGAAAAAAAGAATGATACAATAGACTGTGGGGACTCAGGGGGAAAAGGTGGAAAGGGGATGAGGGATAAAAGACTGCAAATAAGGCCAGGCACAGTGGCTCATGCCTGTAATCCCAGAATTTTGGGAGGCCGAGGCAGACAGATCATCTGAGGTCAGGAGTTCAAGACCAGGCAGATTAACATGGAGAAACCCCGTCTCTACTAAAAATACAAAATTAGCTGGGCATGGTGGTGTGGGCCTGTAATCCCAGCTACTTCGGAGGCTGAGGCAGGAGAATCACTTGAACCCGGGAGGCGGAGGTTGCACTGAGCCAGGATGGCAACACTGCACTCCAGCCTGGGCAATAGAGCAAAACTCTGTCTCAAAAAATAAGACTTCAAATAGGCTGCAGTGTACACTGCTTGGGTGATGGTGCACCAAAGTCTCACAAATCACCACTATAAACTTGCTCATATAACCAAACTCCACCTGTTCCCATAACCTATGGAAATAAAAAACATTTCAAGAAAAACTCAAATAGGCCATGATTGGTGGCTCATGCTTGTAATCCCAGCATTTAGGGAGACCAAGGTAGGAGGATCACTTGAACCCAGGAGTTCAAGACCAGCCTGGGCAACACAGTTAAACTCCATCTTTACAAAAAAAAAAGTAATGGAAAAAAGTTCAAATAAATAATTACAGACCTGTGTGCTGGCTCATGCCTGTAATCCTAGCACTTTGAAAGAACAAGGTGGGCAGATCACCTCAGGTTGGGAGTTTGAGACCAGCTGGCCAACATGCTGAAACCCTGTCTCTACCTAAAATACAAAAATTAGCTCAACGTTGTGGCACACCACTGTAATCCCAACACTTTGTGAGGCTGAGGTGAGTGGATCACTGGAGATCAGGGATTTGAGGGCAGCCTGGACAACATGATGAAACCCTGTCTCTTCTAAAAATACAAAAATTAGCCAAGTGTAATGGTGGGCACCTGTAATCCCAGCTACTTGGGAGGCTGAGGCAGGAGAATGGCTTGAACTCAGGAGGCGGAGGCTGCAGTGAGCTGAGATCACCACACTGCACTCCAGCCTGGGCATCTGGACAACAGAGTGAGACTCGGTTGCAGTGGCTCACTCCTGTAATCCCAGCCCTTTGGGAGGCCAAGGCTGGTGGATCACATCAGGTCAGGAGTTCGAGACCAGCCTGACCAACATGGTGAAACCCTGTCTCTACTAAAAACACAAAAATTAGCTGAGTGTGGTCATGGGTGCCTGTAATCCCAGCTACTTGGAAGGCTGAGGCAGGAGAATCTGTTGAACATGGGAGGTGGAGGCTGCAGTGATCTGAGATCGCACCACTGCACCCCAGCCTGGATGACAAAAGCAAAATTCTGTCCAAAAAAAAAAAAGCGAAGTAAAAGGAAAGAATTAGAAAATCACCATGTTGCAAAAGCCAGAAAACACACTGATGTAGACGGCGATCATCTACAGGTACCATAAAACATAGGTGAGGCCAGGCGTGGTGGCTCATGCCTGTAATCCCAGCACTTTGGGAGCCCAAGGTGGGTAGATCACCTAAGGTCAGGAGTTCCAGACCAGCCTGGCTAAGATGGTGAAACACCGTTTCTACTAAAAATATAAAAATTAGCTGGGCGTGGTGGTGGGCGCCTGTAATCCCAGCTACTAGGGAGGCTGAGGCAGGAGAATTCCTTGCATCCAGGAGGCAGAGGTTGCAGTGAGCTGAGATTGCGCCACTGCACTCCAGCCTGGCACCTGGTGACAGAGCAAGACTCTGTCTCAAAAAAAAAAAGGGACGGTGACTGTTCTAGGACAGGTGGCACTGTTGATGTTTGGGGTGAAACCCTTCTTTGCGGTAGGGACTGTCCTGCGTTTCGTAGGGTGAAACCCTTCTTTGCGGTAGGGACTGTCCTGCGTTTCGTAGGGTGAAACCCTTCTTTGCGGTAGGGACTGTCCTGCGTTTCCTAGGTTGTTGGGCAGCAACCCTGGCTTCCGCCCACCAGATGTAGCATCCTCCACACGTGACCTCCAGCTATGAGCACCGAAAGTGCATCCAACATCATCAAATGTTCCTGCAAGTAAAAAATAAAAATTTAAGTTAAAAAAAAATCATGGCTGCACACAGTGGCTCACTCCTGTAATCCCAGCACTTTGGGAGACTGAGGCAGGTGAATCACGTGAGATCAGGAGTTCCAGACTGCCCTGGCCAACATGACCAAACCCTGTCTCTACTAAAAATGCAAAAATTAGCCAGGTGTGGTGGTGGGTGCCTGTAATTTCAGCCACCCAGGAGGCTGAGGCAGGAGAATTGCTTTAACCCAGGAGGCAGAAGTTGCAGTGAGCCAAGATTTCGCCATTGCACTCCAGCCTGGGCAACAGAATGAGACTCCATCTCAAAAAAAAAAAAAAAAAAAAAAAAACTATAAAAGAAGAAGGGCCGGGAGCAGTGGCTCACGCCTGTAATCCCAGCACTTCAGGAGGCCGAGGTCAGGAGTTCCATGCCAGCCTGGCCAACATGACAAAACCCCGTCTCTAATAAAAATGTAAAAACTTAGCCAGGCATGGTGGTAAGTGCCTATAATCTCAGCTACTCGGGTGGCTGAGGCATGAGAATAGCTTGAACCCAGGAGGTGGAGGTTGCAGAGAGTCAAGATTGCATCACTGCACTCCAGCCTGGACAACAGAGCGAGACTCCATCTCCAAAAAAAAAAAATTAAAAATTAAAAAAGATGGTGGCTCCTGCCTGTAATCCCAGCACTTTGAGAGACTGAGGCAGGCGGATCACCTGAGGTCAGGAGACCAGCCTGGCCAACATGACGAAACCTTGTCTCCACTAAAAATGCAGATTACCCGGTGTGGTGGCACATGCCTGTAATCGCTTGAACCTGGGAGGTAGAGGTTGCAGTGAGTTGAGATCATGCCATTGCACTCCAACCTGGGCAACAAGAGTGAAACACTGTCTTTTATTCTTTTTTAAAAAAAATATTTTTAAAAGCCTACAGCACCCAGTATTCCAGGGCGGTCTCCCATCCAAGTACTAACCAGGCCCGACCCT